AGTTCGACACTCTCCCTCCTCTCATCCCATCAATCATCACCAGATCTTCATTAAAGGTAAGTGTCATGTATTCTATTGTTAGAAGAGCACTAGAAACTGTGCATGTCTTCTTCAGTTTGTGTGCATTAAACTTAATATTTCATGTGGTAAATTTTTTTTTTCATACTTTTGGGTGTCTTGCACGAATTAATTTGATTTCCATTACTTCTCATGTGGAAAATTAATTTGCCTTTCAATAATTTTGGCATACGATGAGCTCTCAGGAATGGATTAATATCGAATACCAATGGTCCACTGTAGTGTTCTGTGTATGTAGTAGGCACAATAATAAGTGTGGATGTTTTGTATATTAAGCAAGTTAAGACTTAAAAAGCAGCAGAGTATGCTGTCTAGTGCTGAAGTTAGTAATCAATCGGACTGCAACTTTTTGTTGGGTTATTAAAGGTTTGAGGCAATTTGCTGTAGTTGAGCCCCATGCACATATACCATAGATAAGGTAAGGGTAAATGAGAGAATGGTACAGAGCAAGAAGAGCTGTTTGGGGTACATAGTACTGTATCTTTGAAATGATGCCTACTGTTTTGGAGACTTTCTTGGATATTTTCTGTATGTGTGTCTGAAATTTGAGACCACTAACTAGGACTAGGTAGAGACCTAGAAATTTGCCCTTTGTGTGTCTAGAAATGGGTGAATCATTTATCATTATGTTTAGCTGTACATTTAAAGCTCTGTTTCCAAATAGCATGAAGTAGGTTTTGTCTGTATTGGGAGTAAGTTTGTTGGTAGTCATCGAAGTAGATATTGTTGTGGGATACTAAGTAGGAGTAGACTTCTTTGTGAATTAATTTTTTGAAGATTTTAGATAGAAGGGGCAGGTTTGATATAGGCCTATAGTTGTTCATTGCAGTTTGATCACCTTCTTTTAGGATCGGGGTAACTCTTGCTGTCTTGAATATGGATGGGAAGGTGGAAGATTCAATGGATTTGTTAAAGAGAGTCACAATAATTGGTGACAATACATGAGAAGTTTTTTATACATAAGTGGTGGTAAGTTATTTAGGTCTCCTGTCTTGTTCTTTTGTGTTTTGATGATGAGTGAGATTTCAGTAGAGTTGGTAGGTGTTAAAAATAGAGTATTTGGGTAGTTGCCAGTGAGGTAGTTTTTTGGTTGAATGTTTGAGTTTGGGATTCTGCTTGCTAGCTTTTTTCCTACAATTAAGAAGAAGACATTAAGTTTGTTGGCAGTATCAGTTGGTTGGAGGAGAGGTTCTTCTGGTTTCGTTAGATTGATCATTCTGTTTTGTGACATCCTTTTAGATCCTAGAATTTCAGATAAGGCTTTCCAGGTCTTTTTCATATCACCTTTTATGTTATGTAATCTGTTTTCATAATACAATTTTTTTGACCTTATTAGGCTGGTTAGTATTGACGAGTAACGTTTAGCCAGATCTCTTGTTATTAGACCCATTCTCTACTGTTTTTCATATAGATGCTTTTTATCAATAGATTTGTGGATGCTGTTTGTAAGCCAGGGGCTGTTAAGTCTCTTTGCTGTGATCAGCTTAGTTTTTATAGAGCAATGCATGTTATAGAGGTTTTGTTTTTTTTGTAAAAAAATATTAACACATTCATCTAAATCAAGATTGGTAGCTCATTTTGCCAGTTGATGTTACTTATTGCTGTAATAAAGTTATTAACAGATGATGCAGACTAGTGCATTATTGTAATAATTGTACAAATAATGTCAGTGCATTCCTAAAAGCATATTAGACTGGACAGATGGGCACATATTGGACAAGTGACATCATTTGTATACTCTGGAATACTAATTGCAAAAGTTGAACATTTTGGCTACTTTGAGCTCAATTTCAAGCTACTTTCAGTCCTGAAACCAATCAAAATCATCATCTCTATTTCTGTAATAAATCTTCCATTCTGTCAAATGAAACCAAGAAACCGAGAATACAGCCATAAAAAAACATACAAAAATACACTGCAAAATCGCTGTTTTAAACCAAAAACACTGTTGGAGTTTTTCCTCATCATGCACTGAGTGCTGCAAATTTTTTTTTATATGGTGCACACTTACTGCATAGACCCATCCTGTCATATCCAGGCCTAAAGTTACCACTCACAGCTTATCTGAGTGAGCTGAGCTCATGGCACAAAACAATGGGACCAACCTGGGCTTCAAAGCCATAGTACAGCTGGACCCACCCCAAAAGGGTTAACTCACACTGTTTGTAGAATATTTTTTTTTCACATCTCTGCATAGTGGTACTTGGTTGATAATACAAAACACCAACAGGCACATGATTGACAAAAGTTTGGGAAAATGGAAGGAGTCCTTAGTGGTAGGGGTAGGACTGATAGGTAGTGTTCCTAAAGTGTATCTCACCAGGCACAGAAAGAGTTTATTCTTCAAAATCTGGTATTATGTGCTACCAGTTTTCTTAAAGTTCTGTGTGATATATTCACTAATTTCAGAATTATGATTAATTGTTTCAAAACTTTCATGCCATTTTAAAGTATGATATATCATACCTAAGTCATTTAACCCTTAAACAGTCCAAACATATATATACGTTCACCTGCGCAGCGCCCCAGATATTTCGAGAAAAAAATAATTTTTTTTATAGGAAAAAAGAGCATGTGGTACCCAGGCATCCCCAATTTTTTTGATATGGCACACACTGAGTGTGCACACCCATTCTCTCATGTCTAGGTGACTCAGGCCTATCGTGCCAATGTTGAATGAATGACAAATGAAACGTATATATACGTTTGGGGCACTATGTGAGAGAACGTATATATATGTTTGGACCGTTTAAGGGTTAATAGTTGTGCAGAATAATTCTCCTTTATACTCATTATTTCTGGATTCAGAACAAAGAAACTGACAGAGTTTTCTTATAGCTTACCAGTTTTACATCTAATAAATTACCTGATATTTTCTAAAAAAATTGTTTTATCATTTTGCAATCAAATGAGCAAAGTAGTTTTTATTGGCTTGCAGTGAGAAAGTTATGAATGTATTGAAGTTTGCTTTAAGGAATACTTAAGGAAAACAGCAGTATGAAAATTGGAATACAGAAAACTTAAAAAAAGCAAATGAGTTATTTTTCAATAATGGTACTATGAATTTTAAAATAATTTCCCAAGACAACCAGTTAACCAGTAATAGGAATACTCTCATGTTAAAGATCTATGAGAGAGAGACTACCTGTCACAAGGTGATGCTTCTAATAATGGTCCAGGGCTGCCAGTGTACCAAATTTACTTTTGAAAATATAAATTGTTTCATTATTTGGCGTACCATCATGATCAAATTTTATTTATTTCTCTCCAGTCAGTTAAGTTTAAAATCTTTAATTTGAACCTCACACCCACCCTGTGGGCATTTTCTTTTATTTCTCTGTACGTATTGTACAATGAGTTCTCTGCATACACCATGCCAGCATGCTTAAAAAGCTAGCGTGATTTTTTTTTGTTTGTTTTGAGCCCACTAAATCCTGCTTATCTTGTTCATGGCTATTGCTTTAACTTAAAAAAAAAAATTCATAGATAATGCTAAATATATACTATGATTTTCATCATTATCTACCTTAATTAGTTGAATTGTCCTTGAAACCAGTCACAGGTATTTCTTAGGAATTATTTTAAGACTATTGTGGCCATATAAGAATATAATATACCCATTTAAGAATCAAAAGTACAATATAAAAGAAGATTAATAAAATGAGTAAGTACTATGAATACTTGTATATAGAGCATTTGCATAAATTTGTGTAAAGAGAATGTGTGTATATTTGTACAGTATTTGTATGTTTTGTTCTAATATTTAATTTTTAGGTGTAAATACTTATAGAATATATGTGAATATTTTAATATTGCGTGTACAGTATTTTTGTTTTATTAGTATATTTTAACAGTTGGTTTTCATGCATGACAGAGCATCTTTAAGCACATGAATGTATTCTCTTGTACATACATACAAGTGAATGATTATCTTTCACATGTAGATTGCTTACATTTCATCGAGGGGATTATTTTGGATTTTTTGTAATAATATATGACGCTCTTTAAGATTTAATGAACATTAGTCTTGGAGTGATTTGTTGTGCTTTGTTCAGAGAATCTTTGAAAGTAGGTCAACCACAATTTTATATACATACGTATTTATTATTGGAAAAGGTTTCAAAGTTTGAGTTTTAGCAGTTACAATATTATAGTCCCTCAGTCTCACAATTTACCATGAAATACCTTTACATACCATACTGCTGTATTGCAGTGTAAGTGCTTTACATTTGCAGTGCTCTCCTCTTACTGCAATATGTATTAATGGTCACAGTATGTAAACTTTGACTTGCATTACATTGCTACAGTTTGTAGGCTGTGTAATCTAAAGTAACATGTAACAGTATATTGAGTTTATGTAACTCATTGTTACATGAAACAGAATGTGGGACTCTAGTGTTATGTGTAGCAATATGTAGAGTCCATATTTCTCATAGTGTTATATGTAACAGTATGAAGAGTATGTGTGACTCAGTGTTACATGTAATGCTGTATTCACCATGGGTGTCTTAGTCAACTGTGTTGCAGTATGTTATGTATGATTTGGAGTATGATACATGAGAAAGTGTTAAATGTATATATGACTCTCAGTGCAACATATCACAGCATGGTAGCTATGCCTTGCTCACACTGATTTCTCACATGCTGGTAGCCAGTGCTAGCTCACTAATAACAGTATAACATGAAAACCATTGATGGTTCATGTGTCCCATTATGGTTGTCATGGATGGTTAACAAAATAACATGCAACATAGCTTTATAGCCATGCCTGGGCCACAGCGTTACATGTAACAAAGCGTCAGAACTAATGCCAGACATAATGTTATAAGGTGCACGAGCTTGGATTGTTGACATGAAGTGTATTGGATTCGGACTTATATCTGTGACTAACTTGGGTCATGGCGGATGTGGTGCTGCTGCAG